GGCGCAGCACCTGGCCGAAGACCCGCTGCCGCTGCGCAAGGCCAAGATCACGCTCGAGGCCGCGCTCAAGCGCGCCGAGAAGGCGCGCGCCCCCTTCGAGGCCGCCACCAAGGTCGCCGAGGCCGCCCGCCAAGTGGCCGAAGCCGCGCGCCACGAGGCCGAGGCCGCCAGGCGCGAGGCTGAGTCTGCCAGGCAGGTGGCCGAGGCCGCCCGCCAGGAGGCTGCCGCCGCGCGCGAGCAGGCCGAGGCGGCCCGTCGCCAGGCCGAATCCGCCAGGCAGGCCGCGGAGGCTGCCCGACGCGCCGCCGAGGAGTCGAGGCGCGCTGCCGAGGCCCAGCGCCAGGCGGCCGAGGAGGCTCTGGATGAGGCCGGCCGCAAGGTGGAGGAGGCCGAGGCCTACCTGGCCGAGGTCAAGGCCAAGCCGGGCAAGTGCCACGGTGCCATCTGGTGGATGGAGAAGGAGCTCGAGGAGCAGAAGAAGTACCTGCCCTCGTCCAAGGGCGGCGTCGCCAAGCGCGGCTAAGTGCCTCACTGCACTGGCGAGCTTTCTTGTCTGCCCTCTGCTGTACTCAATTACAAAAGAAGAACGAAGAATTTAAGAGACAAAAGTCGCACAGGTTGAAATTTCGTATGGTGATTGAGAAGAGGGATGTTCGCTGGAAACTCGCGCTTCTGTTCTACAAGGCGCGAGAGGGTTGTTGTTTCTCCTTTTCCTCTCTCTTCACCGCTGCTCTGCGCTTTCTCCCTCGATCTTCCCTCTCCTGCATATCCTTTCTTCGATTCTGGAGCATCCATCCTCTGCTACGTCCAACTTTCAACCACGAGGCTGCGAGTATTGAGGGGATCTGGCATTACCCGTAGTGCCACAAACCACATCGAATCATCCATCAATTTACTGCACAGCCCCAGCCGGTCCGAATTGAGCACAAATAGTGATGGGGAATTCGCCCTCAGCCTCTCCGCCCTCTCTGGAACTCCTTGCCGACCCCATCGAAGAATTGGAGGGACGGCTGTTTTGGCCTTCCCAGCCTTACGAGGGTCCCGTGAAGCTACGATTCTGCTGCGATCGATGCAGGTGCATCCCTGTTCCTCTCACATGAGAAAGCGTGCAGAGCGCGTTTGGAATCTTAAACTCTTCTGCACTTGCAGCCAAGAAGCAGTGCTGTTGCAGCCGTACCCGGAAACCTGGAAGGACTTGGTGGGTTCGCGAGGGGAGTGCTTCGCTTGCGGCTCTGTACAGAAGGTACTGCTTCCCACCATTCTGAGCTCTGCTCTCCTTTCACGCTCGAGCATGATGGTAGTAGCACTGCCCAAGGTACTTACTTCTTCGGTTTTGCACTCATTCCGGTTTCTTTCGTGGCACGCTGTGTTACGCCACAGATCAAAACCAAGTTCATCGAGGCCGGCACGAGGGAGCCGATATGGGTGTTCAATGGGCGCGATGATCGAGTCCTCGCACAACAAATACTCAAGTTCATCGTACGTTTCCTGAGGCAGCCTCCTGTGATGTGTGCTGTGATCTATAAACTCTCCTCTTTCTGGCCTGTCCTGTATAACATGTTCGCAACACAGCGAAGCGCTCCACCATCCCACAGATCTTACGAAGCTGGTTCGCGCGTTCATTTCGAAAAGGTGCTGCGACCAGCAAACTTTCGAGGTTCGTTGTACACCCCGTGACTGGAGTCTCGAGAGTTCAGACTTTCAGCCTTTATGCCTAGAAGGTGAGACGCTGACCAGCGAATCTCCCACAGACAGCGTCCTCCCTCACGATTTTTTGTGGGAAGATGAGGCGCTACAACTGCCGCTCAAGGAGAGACACAAGCTCTTCCTCCAGACCGCCAGAAAGAACATCAAGACGTGGGACAGGTAAGTCCCACAACTATCTGTTTGTTATGTCAAGTTCTCCTGGTCGTGATGCCTTGGCGTGCTGATAGCGGATTTGTTGTTGGGACAGGTTCAAAGTGAGAATTGACAGACACAGCAACATCCTTTCGCAAGCCTACAAGCAGTTTAGTGAAGTGGCGCCCAATAAGATCAGGTCAGTATAGCTTGTCCGTTGCTTTCCTCTTGGTTAAGGTATGGCGAACACTGACCCAGACGCGCCTTGGGTGTTGTTTGGTTTTTGGGCAACAGGGGATCGTTTTCTGTCAAGTTCCTGGGCGAGGAGGCGATGGACCTGGGCGGCGTCACGAAGGAGTTCTTTCACCTGGTCAGCGAGCAGATGCTGGATCCGCGGGCCAACCTGTTCATACCCCAAGGACCCAACAACACCTTTCACCCGAGCCCATCCTCTGCAATCAATGGTACCCCCCCTCCTCTTCTCGCAAGCCCTGCGTTTTCGTGCGCTCTGGTACTCATCCTCAAACACCGCTGCGTCTAGAGCTGCACCTGGAATATTTTCGATTTTTTGGCCGATTCCTCGGCAAGGCGTTGATCGAGGAGCGATTGGTGAAGGCCCCTTTGACGCGAGCCATCTGGAAGCTGCTGTTGGGTGCGCACACTCACATTCAATCATTACGCACTACTTCAAAGCAGTTTGAACTCATCAAGTTTTTCTCACCCAACCACAGGCAAACCGCTCACCTTTGAGGACTTCCAGACTGTAGACAAACAGATTTACATGCGACTGTTGCAGGTAATGGACCATCTCCTACCCATCCTTATTTCTTGGGCTTCAGGAAGGTGCTGCTGGCCAACTCATTGCTGCGTGTACACGACAGATGCTTGATTTCGACGACGAGACGTTGGAATCGTGCCATCTGGTGTTCGCGGCGGACATCGACGACTTTGGCCAGCCGCGGACGGTTCCGCTGAAGGAGGGCGGTGAGGACATACCCGTCACGCGGGACAACCTCATTGAATGGATCTCCCTGTACAGCAGCTGGCGCATGCTCGACTCCGTGGCACCCCAACTTGTACATTTACTCCAAGGGTTCTACGAAGTGGTACGTTGCACCCGGCTGGGGCGGTGCGTGAGCTACCTTGCGGTGACCGCACTGATCGTTATTTTTATTTTGTAACAATATATATTTAATTTTGTTGATGGGCATCGTTGTGTAGGTGCCGGTTCAGGTGATCTCCCTGTTCAACGAATTCGAGCTCGAGCAGATCCTCTGCGGGCTGGGCGAAATCAACGTCGATGATTGGCGAAAGCACGCCGTCATGATCGGTAGCACAAATCCGTCACCTTCTTGCTTTCTGCGCCTTCGTCTCTCAATGTTTCCTTCGTCTCTCTCGTGATTACTATCAGGGTATCGGCGGGACGAGGATAAGGTGCAAGAGGATTGGTTTTGGGAAATTTTGACGGAGGACTTCAACAACACTCAGAGAGGCCAAGTGCTCCAGTTTGTCACCGGCTCAGCCCAGGTACTACCACACCTCCTCCCACACTCGCACCCACCCACCCACCCCCCCACCACCATCATCTCACCCGCCCTCCCGTCAACAGGTACCTGTTTCGTTCCAATACCTGCATCCACGCTTCACGGTGGCCCTCGTGCGCGGTCTCAAGAAGGATAGCTTCCCCTATGGGCACACATGGTACAGTGCCGGCCATCTTCTTTTTCTCAAGTGTTGCACTGGAACACCCTTGGGTTGCTGATGATGGTGGTCGTGTGGCCTTCTCTCTGCAGCTTCAACCGGGTGGACTTCCCGGTGTATTCGTCGAAGGAGAAGATGCGGGTAGGCCTGCTCAAGGCGCTGGACCTTGGCCTCGTTGGCTTCGCCCTCCGCTGACCGATTGGAGATGCATGGTTGTCTTTCTCCTTGTTGGCATCCTTCCACCATCAAGCGCTGAAATAAAACGTACATAGGAAAAACTGGAGCCTGCCTCAACCCAACACACACAACCACACAATAGAATTGTCCATTCACAACGTTGATCTGCTGCATGGCTAATCCATCACACTCCTGTGTGTGGTTTGAAGATGAAAAGAAAAAGAAGAGAAGAAGAGGTTGGGATTAGACCTCCACACACATACACACACTCAACTCCCATAGAGCAGCTCAAAGGAGATGGTAAGCACCAAGGGGAGGCACTCACAGCTGAGAAGAACAAAAGTACTTTCATGAGAGGGTGACACATGTATTGTCTAGCTTTTACTCCCCATACAGATGCAGAGTAAGCTGGTGGAAACAGGTGTGGCAGCAATTCTGATTGCTCACAGGGGTGATTGCAATGGTGACAGCCAACAACAGTAGCTGGAACCCAGCCTCACTCCTTGGCAATAGAATGTTTGCTAAGCAGCACTTTATCTCCTCCTTGCCCCACAAATCATGTGAAGATGAATGCTGCAACAATTTGAAATCAACCAGCAGCCATGATTTTCCTTTTATGGTTTCTGTGTGTTTTCTGCCAGCCATTCAGGAAAGGACCAAAAAAACGTGTGTAGTCATTGCATACATGTACTTGATAAAGTAAGTGTACCAAAACATGATAGAAATTGGTCATTCCAGACCTTGACTTGATGGCCCAGTTACAGCATCATATCTCTCATGATGGTATTTTAATCTGCCATATCTCAAGATCTGCTCTCAATTTTGTCTTGCTATTCTTAAAATAAAACCATTTTTGTGTTGTCAAAACTATTTTTATGAGGTTAAACTCACAAACAAAATCACTTTTCAAAATGACTGGACCTCTCATTTCAAATGACCACAAGTTCAGGGTGCATCTCCCTTGATGGCACCACCAGCAACCTGCACACAGAGAGTACTGTGTGGCCATCCTTAGTGAGGTAGCAACAGAGGCAGACCTTCTTCTTTGTCTTCTTCGCTCGCGATGCCAGCGTCGCGTTGCTGCTCGCGGCTCACACTTCTTGGCCCCCACCATGTTTTCCACCACCGCCACCACCACTCGCGCACCTGCAGCGAGACCACCGCCCTCGCCGGCAGCAGCAGCAGCAGCGCCGCAACACCACCAAAACCGCCGAAGCTCGCCTCCGACTCAGGGCGACAACCGCGGCAGGCGCCCTCCCAACACTACCACCACCGGCACCGCCGCGGCGAGCCCGCAGCAGAGAAAGCAGCCTTCGCCGAGCGACGTGCAGCAGACGGTCCAGCGCATCAAGCGCTCCGGTTCCGCTTCCCCCCCCTCCTCATTTTGTGAAGGTTCACCCAATTTGGGGTCAGCTGACCGGCCGCCATGCCATGCCACGCCACGCCACGCCACCAGGCGCGATTGGCGAGGTCGATGCGCTGGTGGCCACGCTCAAGCGCACGCGCCAATTCGACCCCTCTGCTGTGAGCGCCGTGCTGCCTCTTTTTGGCGCGACAGTGGGAGACGGCCGTCGAGCTGGTCGAGCTCATGCCTCGCCACGGCCACGTACCCCACACCACCCCTCTCCACCTCTTCTTCGGTGGTGAAAGAAGAAAGAACAGCCCACCATGCGCGCCCCTCCCAAACCGGTGACGTCCTTGTCTGTGCTGTGCTGTGGTGGTGCTGTGGTGGTGGTGGTGGTTGGCGCAGACGCCCAACCTGTTTGTGTTCAGCGGCCTGCTCCAGGTGCTGGGCAAGGCTCGCCAACCGGACAAAGCGCTCCACTACTTCGCCGAGATCGAGCGCAGCGGACTCACACCCAACACCCACTGCTTCAGTGCGCTCATCGCCGCGCTGGGCACTGCGGGCCGGGTCGACGACGCCGAGCGCCACTTTGCCCAGATGGCCCAGCTGGGCGTGGTGCCCAACACCCACTGCTTCAGCGCGGTCATCGCCGCGCTGGGCACTGCGGGCCGGGTCGACGACGCCGAGCGCCACTTTGGCCAGATGGCCCAGCTGGGCGTGGTGCCCAACCTTTACTGCTTCAGCGCCTCATCAGCGGTTTTGCAGAGGCAGGACGAGTGGACAAAGCCGAGCACTGGTTCGCCAAGATCACCACCGTGGGCCGCCTCAAGCCCGACCTCATCAGCTACAGTGCCCTCAAACGAGGTGGCGGCGCGGCCCGAAGGGCTCTCGAGCTTCTGCACGAGATGACCCACAAGGTGCTCACCTCTCTGCCCCTCTCTGCATCTCTCTCTCTCTGTGTGTGTGTGTGTGGTCCCTGTCCCTCAACAGTTTTTGACTTGGTTGTGCAGGGTGTGCGACCAGATGTGGTGAGCCTACAGCACAGTGATCAGCAGCCTGGCCAAAGCCAGAAGAGGCCGCCGCCGCCACATGGACCAGGCGCAGGAGCTGTTTCGAACCAAATGGTGCAGCAGGCCGTGCGACCAGACGCCACGACCTTTGGCGCACTCATCCACGGCCACGCCCTCGTGGGCGATCTCGAAACAGTCCGTAACCCCTTCCCCCCCCCCACCGCCACCACCACCAATCAAACAAACGAACGAACATCCCGCGGTCATTGTCTGTGGCCGACCAATAATTAACAACAATAATAACAATAATAATAATAATAATGTGCTGCGCACATGCAGGCCAGGCGCAGACTGCAAGAGATGAGCACAGAGTTTGGTCTCTCGCCTAATGCCGAGATCCACACCGTACACACATCCCCACTGCCGGCTCAATTCTGATGAGCCAATGCCCTCCTCCCCCCCCCAAGGGTAGCAAACAACTGACCAACCCGGTGGTGCACCATCGATGATGGGTGGTTGGTGGGTGACCTCAGATGTTGATGGACGCCGAACAGCGCATGGCCACCGACCCTGTTGCGGCCTATCACCAGGTGCTGCGCACTGTGGACCACATGAAGCAGGCGGGCGTGCATCCAACCCACGCCACGTTCAGCGTCGTCATCGATGCGGCGGGATTTGCCGGCCTGCCGCACGAGGCCGAGCGCCAGTTCGACGCCATGACTCCGCTCCACGGCCTCCACCCGAATACCAACAACTTCACGTCGCTCATCGAGGCGCTGGCCCGCAACGGCCGGCTCGACAAGGCCGAGGCCGTTCTCGACTCGCTCGCAGCGCGCCAGCCCACTTCGGCGCTGCAGCACGACCGCCTCACGGCCAAGAGCTTCAACACGCTGCTCGGGTTCTGCATCGGCGCCGGCGACTCAGCACGAGGCCAGCGTGTGGTGGCCAAGATGCACCAGGCCGGCGTCGCACCCACCGAGGTCACCCAGGCCAAGCTGCGACCTGGCCAGGCTGTGTGAGCGCCGTGGTGGACCCTGTGGCGCGTTAAAAAAAGCAGTAAAGACACAAAAAAAATGAAAACAAAGAAAAAGGAAGAAAAGAAGAAGACCAAAACTTCTCTTTTCTTTCTCCTTCTTACGTGAGATCGAGACGGAGCGGACAGCAGAGATGGAAAGGAATCCGCATCGGCTCGTTGACAACGAGCTCCGGAGCTATCTTCAACACGTCAAGGGCATCATCGACAAAAACGAGTTCGAAGATGAAGAAGGTGGCTAACCCAATTTTCTCCGCTTCCATCTGCAAGTTCGATTTTACTTATCTAATTGATTCACTTCCTATTGTTCAATTAATTTAATCTCGCAATGATTTTTTTAAAAAAATTGGAGATGCTCACGAATTCTATCCGTTGCGTTGTAGAGCGGCAGATTTTGCTGAACAATGTGTTCTCGGAGCTGCGGCACAAGGAGCTCAACATCGCCACCCACTCAGGCGTGACGCGCACGCTCGAGGGCTTCCTGCCCCTCTTCTCCCCCTACAAACTGCGCGCCTTCCTCTTCCACCTCCGCCAACGGTACCTCACCACTCGTGCGTGTCGTGTGTCGTGTGTCGTGTCGCTGATGACCGTTTGTTGGTGTTGTCCAGCTACGTGAGACTCAGCACGGATTGCGCGGGCTCGCACATCTTCGAGAAGGTGATCGGCCTGTTCGGCAAGTTCCTGGGCGACGAAGACGCCGACGCCGACGAGGAGCTGGACGACGGTGAGGGCGAGGAGGCCAAGGAGAAGATCCCGTCGTGCGTCGACACGCTGCTCGGCGTGTGCGACGAGCTGGCGCCCGAGCTGGGCGCGCTCACGACCGACAACTACTCGACCCACGTCGTGCGCACCCTGCTGCGCGTCCTCGCGGGCCTCCCGCCCAGCGAGCCCAAGACCGAGCAGGAGAAGGACGACGCACAGTCAGTCGCCCCCAAGAAGGTTGTTTTAACCGCACACGCGCACGCACACGCACACGCACGCACGAACACACCGCACACGCAGATGAAGGAGTTGGCTGACGCTGGGTTGGTTGGTTGGTTGCTGGCGGCGCAGGTGCCGAAGAAGCTGCTGGAGAAGGCCAAGGAGGTGATAGAGGCCATCTTGCTGCAGCTGCAGGACGACAAGCACCAGGCCCAGGACATCATCTTCCACCGCTGCGCCTGCCCCACCATTCAGGTAAACAGATATTTTCATATTTGTTTATTTATATTCAATTATTTCCTTTGTTAAATTCTATTTTGCTCTCCTTTGTCAATATTAATTGATAACAGGTTAATATATTCCTGATTTATCAATTGGCATATTCAATTTACTAAAATGCAATTTCATTGCTCTACGCGCGCGTAGACGATCTTGGCGGTGTTGAAGCAGCTGGACCCGGAGCGGATGGAGGCGTTGATCGCGCAGATGCTGATGCTGGACTCCAAGGACTCGGCGGCCACCCTCAAGCACGTGGGCAAGGCCCTGCGCCACCCCATCGCCAGCCACTTCATCGAGAAGGCCCTCCAGCTCTGCTCGCCGGAGACCTACGTGCGCATCTACTCGGACTTCTTCCGTCACAACATCGTCGAGTACGGCAAGGACGCCTCGGCCAACTACGTCGTCCAGCAGGTCAGCCATCAGCACCACGCGACACGACACACGCGACACGACACACAACATGCAACACATTGCTGACATTCTCTCCTCTCTTTTTTTTTTTGCTTTTTATTTGATTTCATTCAGTTGATCGCGAGCGCGCGGCACCACGCCCAGCCGAAGCTCATTTTCGAGGAACTCATGGAGAGCCCCCACAACGTCAAGTCTCTCTTCAGTACCCCCCCCCCTCTCCACCCGCCGTTCCCTCCTCTCTCTCTCTCTCTCTCTCTGGTGTGTGTGTGTGTGTCGCGTGCCACGAATGTTTGCTGATCGCACACACCGACGAATGTTTACCCCCAGATTCGGGTAAGGCGAGTGTGATGTTGAAGCTCGTCGAGGCGTTCACCAAGTTCACCGACATCCCCAAGAAGGACAAGCGAGCACTCTGCACGGTGCGCACACAAGACACCGCACGCGCACGCGCACACACCGCACACGCACGCACGCACTCACATCCCTGGGTTCGGGCACAGAGCATCCGCGACGTGTTCATGGTGGAGGGCGAGCAGCCGGCGGCGGTGGCCGAGGCGGAGTCGGAGGCCGCCGGCGGAAAGGGGGCCAAGAAGGCGGCCAAGAAGGAAAGCGAGAAGGAGAGCGGCCGCGTGTTCGACCTCAAGGGCCTCCTCGAGGTCAAGTCCGTTGTGCGCGACGCCCCCACCAAGCCCGCATTCGGCAAAAAGAAGAAAAGGTACCGTGTCTCGTGCTGTGTGGCGTGTGTGTCGTATTGTGTGTCGTTCGTTAGAAGGTGGTCCACCTGACCTCAATATGTGGTGTGATCGGGGGGCAGCGGCAAGAGGGCCGTGAGTCCGTTCTCGCCGATCGGCTGTCGCCTGGTGCAGAGCCTCATGCTGTTCCCCTTTGACTGCGTAGACTTCCTGCTCAACAGGTACCCCTCGCGCGCCGCACGACCGCACGACCGCACGACACACGACACACGCATATACAACGCACGGTGTAACTGACCCCACTGCTCACCCGACCAATATTACTTAGTTTCCTGGCCCTGGACACGGAGTACCTGTTGACCATGGGTCTCGACTCGGCGGCCAGTCGCGTTGTCGAGGTACGTTCCGGGCATGACCGCACGCACGTGTTCGGTGTGTGTTGTTTGCTAACGACGCACGACACGCGTGGCTAGGCGTATCTCGATGAGTCGTGTGCGGCGCCGGTGAAGCACAAGCTGAAGCTCATCAGGACCATGCACGGCGTGTACGGCAAGCTGGCCGTGGACCGATGCGGCAGCCACATCGTGGAGAAGTGCTACAAGGCGGCCGACGTCAACGTCAAGGTGCGTTGCACGCACGCACCATACACACAGCCGTAGACTAACTGGATTGTCTGTTGTTTTTTCAGGCGATGATTGCGGACGAGTTGGTGGTGGACGAGAAGAAGCTCGACGCCGAGAAGTACGGCAAGGCCGTACTCATCAAGGTACCACACGCAACACGCAACACGCAACACGCAACACGCAACACGCAACACGCAACACGCAACACGCAACACGCAACACGCAACACGCAACACGCAACACGCAACACGCAACACGGCGGTGCTGACGTGTATGGCGCGGGTGTGCAGTGCAAGATCGGTGCGTACAAGATGAAGAAGGAGGCGTGGACGGAGAAGGCGGCTTCCATCGACAAGAAGCGAAAGATGTTCGAGGACATCCTCAATGACCAGGACGACGACCTCCTGCCCTCCGCCAAGGCCGTCGAGCTCGCCTCGCCCGACCAAGGTCTGTGCGCTACCCGCGTTGTGTGCGTGTGTGTCGTGTGTGTGTGTCGTGTGTGTGTGTCGTGTGACGTGTTCAGCGTGTGCGGTGCGACTCAACTGGGGTCCGCACACAGCAGAGAAGCCGGAGAAAAAGAAGAAGAAGGAGATCGGGGGATTCGTGGTGGACAAGTACGGGTCGGCAGCGCTCAAGGAGGAGCTCCGGAGAGCAGCCAAGAGGCAAAAAGAAGAGGGCGAAGAGGAAGAAGACGACGAGGATGAAGACGAAGAAGATGAAGAGGCGAAGAAGTCGAAGACGAAGGCGGGCAAGCGCAAGCAGCTCGACGCTGTGGAGTCGCAGATGATGGAGCTGTTGGGCTACGGCGGCGATGATGCCGACAGCAGCAGCAGCAAGAAGCGAAGGCGAGATGATGATGGCGATGGAGAAGAGACGAACAAGATCAAGAAGAGCAACCAGCCGACGAAGAAGAAGAAGAACCAGAACAAGAAGCCAAGACGGGAGGAGAAGGAGGCGAGTGGCGACACGTCGCTGGGCTTCATCATGGACGTGATCTCGGCCACGCGGAGCAACAAGCGAGCAGAGACGCCCAAGCAGAAGCAGCAGGTCAAGGAGGCTCAGGAGGCCAAGCTCAACAAGAAGAAGAAGCAGAACAACGACAAGACGGCGGAGAAGCAGCAGTTGCTGGCCCAGCAGACGAACAGCACCGGCGGCAACAAGAAGGAGAAGAAGCAAAAGGAGGAGAAAGACGGGTGGGCGGGCTTCTTCAGCGATGAATGAGCGCCTTGTTCGTTGTTGATGATGTTGATGAAGCATACACACGACCGGACATTGGCCACACCACGTGCCCTTCCAGAACTTGGTGGCCTCAATACGACCGTTGGGGTGATCTGGCGAGTCGGCGATTTTAGCCCACTTTGGCGCCGAAAACGTGAGCCGGCAAACATCTCAAAATCAGCGATTGAACCTGCTACACGCGGCACATCTGGAGTAGAGAAAGAGAAGAGGATGAGTAGCAGATCGTCCTCATCTTCTCAGTCTTCGAGTGCGCAGCAGGAAGGCGGCGCATCTAGAAATGAAGCCGATGTAGATCCAGATGTGGACGCTGGCGATCTTTACATTGACGAGGCCATGTTTGCCATGCTGCGTGAGAGGCGCGAGGAAGCCCTCAAGCACATCTCGGATTACAATCCCTTCGTTAATCGCACTACTAAAACTTCGCTCTTAGAAAAAGTCAAAGTACGTCCCACGTGTCTGTAGTCTTCGCCTTCGGCATTCTTTGATGTAAATCGTTTGATTGGGCACCACCAGCTTGTGGTGGGTGGCTGCACGGTGTTGCCTCTGCGCTGCTTGGGCCTGGGTCCCTTGTTGCTGGGCCTGTACGGCCTCACCAGTCTCTCCATCATCGGTACGCAACTCACACCCCTGCTCTGCATTTGTCCTCAACTCACCATGTGTGTCGTGCGTGTGCGTGTGCGTGTGGGTGTGTGTCGTGCAGGCCTGTCGGATGAGAAGCTGAAGGAGAAGCCACTCACATCCTGGCGCAAGGGCGTGCTCTACCCGACCGTGAAGTACGGCTCGCGCGTGCTGCTCTTCCTGCTCGGGTACCAGTGGGTCAAGACCAAGGGCGAGGCCTCCGCCGAGGCCCCGATCGTCATCTCCAACCACCCCTCCTGGTTCGAGCACCTATGGTACGCACGCGTCTCCCTCCGTTTCCATTTCGGCCGAAGCCGCCGCTCCACTCGAGTGGCCGGGCGCTCAATTCACCTCCACCTCCGCCAGGTTGCTGCACGTGTATGTGCCCAGCGTTGTGGGAAAGGAAGACGTCAAGAAAGTGCCTCTCTACGGCACCTACGCCAAGGTATCGCTCACGCCCGACCGCACACGCCCGACCACACACACGCACACACACACACACGCGCACACGCACGTTTGACTATGTGCTGAACCGCGTGCGTGTAGGCGATTCAAACGATCTTTGTGAAGCGCAGCTCGCCTGAATCGCGAAAGGAGGCGGCCGAGGAAATCTACGAGCGAGTGTCGACGCGCTACGAGAGGCTGAAGCAGCGCAGCAAGAAGGACGCCGACGCCGACGACCTGCAGCGGCAGCGATACGAAGAGCGCGCGAGCAACAAGCGGGCGAAGAAGGCGGCCAAGCAGCAGCAGCGAAAGCAGAAATCCAAGGCCAGCCCGCAGGACGACAATGGGCTGATGGGCGACGAAGAAGAGGAGCAGGAACAGCATGTCGACATTTCGCCCGACGGAACACCGAGGGAGGAAGAGAACGGCGTCGACCACGACGGCGGCAAGAAGAAGAAGAAGAAGAAGGGAAAGAAGAGGAGGAAAGCGAGCAGGACCGACAAAGGCGTGTGGCCTCCGCTGTTCCTCTTTGCCGAGGGCGGCAACTCGTCGGCGCAGGGTTTCATCTCCTTCAAGCTGGGCGCCTTCAACCCTGGTATCATTCTCACCACCCGCGCGCACCACTGCCACAGAACTAACGCGACCTCTTTCTCTTTCGCTTTCGCTTTCCTCCTACTTTACCAACGGGCGAAGGTGTTCCAATTCAGCCGGTGGCCGTGACGCTTCCCTACAAGCACCACGATGTGTCCCCGGCTCCCGGCACCAAGAAGTTCTCGCTCCTCGTGCGAACTCTGTGCCAGGTACCGCCATGTGCGCGTGTCGTGTCGTTGGTCGTGTCGTGTCGTGTGTGTCGTTGGTCGTGTCGTGTCGTTGGTCGTGTCGTGTCGTGTCGTCTCGTTGGTCGTGTCGTGTCGTTGGTCGTGTCGTTGGTCGTGTCGTGTCGTGTCGTGTCGTGTCGTGTCGTGTCGTGTCGTGTCGTGTCGTGTCGTGTCGTGTCGTGTCGTGTCGTGTCGTGTCGTGTCGTGTCGTGTCGTGTCGTGTCGTTGTGCTCATGCTGTTCTGTGTACCTGCTGCTTCTGTTGCTGCCCTACGTCACAGTTTCACAACAAGATGAACGTCACCTACCTGCCCGTCTACTATCCGAGCGAAGAGGAGCAGAACGACCCCAAGCTCTACGCCCGAAATGTGCGACAAGCCATGGTACGTGAGACCTAACGCACCTACGAGAATAGCAGCCATTGCCTTTCGTCTGCTTTGTCTTCTTCTCACGTACGCAATCCGCGCCATCGTCGTCTTCTCGATTGACCTCCGCTGCCCGGGCGCAGGCCGATGAGTTGGCCACTTCTGGGATTCAGGCGACCGAACACTCCTACGAGGACGTCATCCTGTTGCACCACGCGCTGCGAAGAAGATATCCCCACGAGAAGGTCCGCCGTTAATCCTATCATCAGCTTCCCACTTCCACCGAGCGCGAAGCTGACCTTCTTCTCTCTTCTCGGCGCAATCGTCGATCCGGATGCAGGTGCTTTTGGAGACGCGCAAGCTGCTCGACCATTTCGAGATACTCGAGCTCAACAAGAACACGCTCACCCGCTGCCTCGACAAGGTAATATATTGCTTTTATATAGAAAGTCCAAATATCTATATAACTACCGTCTCTCGCCACCTCACACATACGATTCGATCATCGCTGTTGTCGTTGTCGTCTCACAATTTGTTACGACGGGTTTGCACACACAGTTCATTGCGATGGACACAGACCGTTCGGGCGAGGTCTCCTTCCAGGAGTTCTGCAGGTAGGCGCCTTCCTTCCCTGTACCCGCGGTAGTCTTTGTGTCTTGGGACATGCCGGGCTGATTGGCTGACGCCTGTGCCCGCGGCCGTACATCCATTCGTACGTAGTGTGTTGTACCTGCCCGATGCCGACATCACGTCGCGCCTCTTTGCCTTCCTGGACATCGACGGCGACGGCCGCATCAACTTTCGAGAGTACATCACCGGTACACATTCATTGCCATGTCGTCACGGGCACACGCACTCGGGTGTGGAGGGTGGTTGCTGACCTATCTATCTTTACGATCGCGTTCGTTGCTGCTTCTCTCTCTCCGATCGCGCGTGCGCAGGTATGGCAACGCTCTGGAAGGTCCTCAAGCCTCGCGCCCTGACCGACGTCTTCGCGCTCTTTGCCGGCGAAGGAGGAGACCACTTCACCCTGAGCCACGCAAGGTATGTCTGCCCGCCAGCGGGTCACCGCCTTCTTTGTGTACCACGGCACACGATCAACCCACCTTGCCCCCGCCCCCCGGAGCGCTCACAACTGTCGCCAGGGAGACGTTGAGGGGCCTCTTCGAGTGCCTCACCGACGAACAGATCGACGGCATCTTGTCGAAGGTGGGCGACCTCAAGACCCCCGACACCATGACCTTCGGTACACCACCCAGCCCGCCGATGGCGATTGGAGACGACGACGATAGAGCCACTGCCCCCTTTCGATAATACTCAAAATCCGCTTCACGTGTGTGCGGTGGTGCGTGCGTGTGCGTGTGCGGTTGACAAAACACAGACGAGTTCGAGGCGTGGGCGAAGGACAACCCCGAATACATCCATCTGCTTTTGACCACAGACCAGATGGCGGCGGCGGCGAGGCGGCGAGGGAGCGCTGCAGCGACGGCAGGGCTCGCAGGGGAGGAGGAGGAGGACCAGAAGAAGAAGAGCAAGGGCAAGCAGAAGGCCGACGTTAAGGACGACGATGATGACGATGATGATGGTGTCAACAACGACGACTACGGCCTGAGGGAGATCCAAATCGAGAGCGGCTCGAGTTCGTCAGACTTGAGTTCGGACGACGAGGTGGACCGCACCAACGGCGAGCGCACGACCTCCACCCCCAGCAGCAGCCGCAGTGGGAGCGGCAGCGAAGAAGAAGAAGAAGAACTCCAAACGCTGCAGAAGGCACCGAAGAAGTCGGACAAGAAGAAGAAGAAGGCGAAGAAGCAAAAGAAGGGGAAGAAGCTGGACGAGAAGCAAACGAAGAAGCCGAAGACGAAGAAGAGGAAGAACAAACAGAGGATAGCATCGGACACGGAGCTGGCTACCAACGGCACGAGCTAACCGCCAACCCTAACCAGCACACAGTGTACAAATCACACACATTTTTTTTTATATATTCAAGCATAGGACCCTCGCACCACCACATACGCGCCTCTACATTCCGCACATGCCGGAACGGGACGTCTTCCCCCTCTTCTCTTTCATCTGCTTCGTCTTCGTCGTCTTCTTCTTCGTCTTCTCGTTTTCTTGCCTCATCAGAGAGAGCAGCAGTTCCGATGGAATTAAGGGGAGACAAAGTGTTTTGGAGTTTTTTTTGGCTTTTTGGAGTTTTTTGTTTGGTGTCCCTTGTGTCACTTACTGTTTTGGGCCTGCAGGGCTGGCCCTAAAGCAGCCAGAATTTCATCTATTTTGATGTGTAACGAGAGGACATTGGGGTGGTGACGGCCCAGCAGCACACACACATCTAAGCACACACCCACTCCAAAACAGCACTGGCCATCTGCTTCGGTCGTATTGTACTACGCTATTATTGTTTGTTTTTTATTGCTGTCAGCAGCTGCGTCGTAGCATCTTCGTCTGAACCGCTTCTCTGCCCTGCTTGTATTTTTTATTTTGTTTTTCCTCTTCAATCAGGTACCCCCCCTTTCCATCAATCGATGCTGGCGAGGCAAATTGAAAGAGATTTCATCTGATCTTTCTTCTTCCACATGTGGTGATTGATTGAAGAAGAGTGATTGAATTGTTGATAGAGATTGAAAGAAAGAGATGATGGAGACAGAGGCGAAGAGCAGCAGCCCCGAAGCCAAGGACAAGAAGACGAAGAACGCCAAGCGGAGGAAGGGTTCGGTAATCGGCCCGCCACCAGCATCTGCGGCACAACCACCCGCGGTCGATAAGAAAGACGGAGGCAAGGAGAAGCCGCCTTCGGCCACCACCTCCACGACGCCCAACAAGAGCCCGACGAACAAGAGGCGAAGCCTTTTGATGATCCTCCGGCGTGACAACATCCGCACGGACGGCAACGAGGCGGCCTCGATGGAGATCGTCGACGCGCACCACGGCAACAGCAGCGGCACCGGCACCGACAACAGCAGCAACAATGTCAACAAGGGACTGGCCCGATCAGCCAACGATGACGACCAAGGCACCGCCGCTGCCGCCAACAACAAGAAGAAGACGAAGGAGACCAACAAGGAGAAGAAGGAGAAAGAAAGGAAGACGAAGGAAAACGCGAAAGCGAAAGCGAAAGCGAAAGAGAAGGAGAAGGAGAAAGAAAGAGGGAACAGCGAAGCTGTGGGCAAGGAGAAGGAGGTGGAGAAGGAGAAAGAGAAAGAGGAGGAACACAAAGAAAAGGCCAAGGAAAAGGAGGACGCTCGGCCCAGCGTAGGAGAGGCCCACCTGCTCGACTGGTGCCGCAAGCAGACCGAGGCCTACGCCGGTACGGCCACCCAATCATCGTCATCGTGATTGGCTGCCTGCTCGGCGATTGGTGGATCGGATCGGGGCTGATCGCGTGGATTGGTTGGCGCAGGGGTGGCGATCGAGGACTTCCAGGCGAGCTGGCGGGACGGGATGGCCTTCTGTGCGCTGGTCCACCGCTTCAAGCCCGACGCGTTCGACTTTGCCTCCCTGCAGCCCGACAACGCCGACGCCAACCTCAAGCTGGCCTTCGCCACCGCCGAGAAGGAGCTCGGTGCGTGTCCACCGCACACGCACACACGCACCACCGCACACGCGCACGCGCACGCGCACACGCTCATTCTGGTCGCGTGGTGCCCACAGGGGTTCCGTCGTATCTGTCGAGCGAGGACGTGGCAGACAGCGATGGGGCGGACGTGCTGACCTATCTCCTCAAATTTCACTCGCTGGTCGTCAACGAAAACGGCCACAACGAAGCCGTACGTGTCGTGTCCACACGTGCGCCGTGCCAAGAAGGGGCAAAACCTGATGAGAGCGAGTTGTGCGTGTGCGTGTGCGTGTGCGTGTGCGTGTGCGTGTGCGTGTGCGTGTGCGTGTGCGTGTGCGTGCGGTCTTGTCTTCCGTAGGCCGATACGTCGTCGTGCGTGATTTTAGCCGAGCCGACGATCAACGCGTCCGGCAATGTGGCCGAACCGGCGCAGGTGCTGGCCGCACTGGCCTCGTCCCGCCCACGACTCGTACGCGCGGCCCTTTCTTTTTTGAAGTCTTTCTTCGCGCCCGCCGCCTGCTGCTGACGTGGCTGACTGGCTGCTGGCAGGCATCGCCCAAGCGAGCCGGAGCGGCGGCTGGACGACGACCGCCCACGCGCGGCGTGCGAGCGGGCGACAAGATCTCAGTCAAGGTAACCAGAGCGCACACACGAAACACACACGACACACGCTACACACGCTACACACGCTACACACACGACGCACACGCTACACACGCTACGCACACGACGCACAAGACGCACTGCCGCATCGCACACGACACTCACAAGCGCTGACATGGGCGCAGGAGGCGGTGGAGAACAAGAAGGGAAATCAGGACAACACCGTCTTTTGTATGGACGGAGATCCCGACCAGCGTACAGCCTCGCCCCATGTGTCGTGTGTCGTGTGTCATGTGTCATGTGTCATGTGTCATGTGTCATGTGTCGTGTGTCGTGTGTCGTATGTCGTGTCGTCGTGTCGTCGTGTCGTCGTGTGTCGTGTGTCGTGTCGTCGTGTGTTGTGTGTCGTGTGCCATGTGTCGTGTTGTGTAACTGATCGTTGACCCACAGTGTCGGCCTCCTCGCCGCGAAAGCGCGGAGCGACGATGAGTGGGTCGCCGGTGGCGGCGAGGGCAGTCGCCTCGAGCGCCCCCAACCGCGCCCGCAAGGGCACCGCCCCGCCGCCCCTCGAAAAGTCCCCCACCACACTCAACCGAGTACGCCCGCTCCCTCCACCGCACTCGCTCACCGCACACGCTGCACCGCACACACCGCACACGCGCTCACCCTTGTTCATGCAACGCAGGCGTCGGCGACGAGCGAGGGCGACGTCGAGATGCCGGAGTGGAAGCGGAAGCTGATTGAAAAGAAGCGGCTCAAGGCGGCCGCGGAGGCCGAGGCGTCGTCCAACGGCGGCCAAGCCCCCCCGCCGGCCGGCCAAGCCGCCGCCAAGCCGGCTGACGAGAGCGACAGCGAGTGCCAAATGATGGAGGGCTTCCTCTTCAAGCGCGACGGAGGTGCGTGTTGCGTCGTGTGCGGTGTGTGTGCGGTGAGCGAGTGCGGTGAGTGTGCGGTGTGTGCGGTGGTGGGCTGACCCGTTGATTCAAATGCGCAGAGCGGTGGGTGCGGAAGTGGTTTGTGTTGAATGGGCCGCATCTGGTCTACTACGGGGACAAGCGCACGGAGAAGAACCAACTCTCACCGCAGGGCATCCTCTCCCTCGAACTCGTCTCCGCCGTACCAGCCCCCCCCCACTCGAGTCGTGTGTGTCGTGTGCCGTGCGTGCGGTGGTGCGTGCGGTATCGCGCGTGTGGCTCATCGTTGTTGTTCGGCGGTGGCGGTGGTGTTCGACCACCAGGTGGCGCCGTTCACGGACAAGGCCAACGGGATCGAGATAACGGACCACGCCGACGGTACCTATCAGGTCTACGCCAGCAGCCGCGGCGAATACGAACTCTGGCTCGACGCCCTCAAGGCACCATACACCCCCTTTCCCCTCCCCTTCCCCCCCTACGCCCCCTCTCGCCGGGCTCTGTCGTTCCACCCGGCCCCACCTGACTGGCGGTCGTTACCAGGGGGCGCAGGCCAAGCACGCCCACCAGCGGCTGGTGGACCGATCGGCGGCGGGCTCGGATTCGCGGCGCGGGTCGGCCTCGACCTGGTCCCACATCGCCTCGGCCGTACGCGATCGACCTCCCCCTCCTCCCTTCCTCCTCCTCTCGACGTGGTGCTGACCTGGCATCGTGAACGCGTGCGGTGTCGTGCGTGTGGTGCGTGTCGTGTGTCGTGTGTCGTGTCGTGTGCGGCACAACGCAGGCTAAGGAGGGCGAGCTGATGATGCTGCCGGGCAAGGGGCTGGGCTCGATCATCGGCGGCCGCAAGTGGAAGAAGGCCTACGTCATCGTCAAGGACGGCTTCATCGAACGATGCGAGGCCAAGGTAACGTCGTCGCTCACCTTCGTTCTCATGTTTTTTTGTTCTTGTTTTCTTTTCCGCGAGTGCTGACCGCGTGTCGTGTGCGCACGCGCGTGTGCGGCTGTGTGTGGTTAATGGGGGGGGGTAATAGGGTGCGAAGCCCAAGCTGCGTGTGCCGCTGATCAAGTGCGAGTTCGCGGCACACGAGGACCGGACGCAGAAGCACGCGTTCCGGGTGGCGACGGCCAAGAAGAAGCTGTTCCTGGCCGCCCCCGACGACGAAGACATGCACGCCTGGATGGACGCCCTCCTCAAGCAGCGCCGCTACCTCGAGCAGGCCATCGACGCCATCGCCGCCGCCGCCGCAGCTTCGTCGCCACCACCCGAGTCATCGTCGGCGTCGGCGGAGAACAACAACCGAGGGCGTCGGAACACCAACGACGGCGAGGCCGGGCAAGGTGGTGGCGGCGGCAAGGCCGAGGAGGCGCCAGCGGCGGAGCAGGCGCCAGCGGCGGCCAAGGACAAGGGCAAGGAGAAGAGCAAACCGTGAAAAACACACACGTCACGCACACGACACGCACGACACACGTCTCTGGAAAACAATGTTTTTGCGTCGCATCACCATCAACTGGTTGGGTGTGGTTCATGAAGAAGAAGCAGAAGAAGAGATGATGGTCTCTTTGGAGATGTCGTCGGCGTTGATGTTGGCGGTGGCGTCGCCGCCGCGCCAGTTCTTGCCGCGGATCTTGATGCGGGGCGGCTTGGCGACGGGCTGGACACGGGCCGCCTCCGCCGCGTAGGCCTCGGGCGAGGGCCACTGCTCGCGGTCCCTCTGGTCGCAGTACGCGGTGATGGTGCCGATCATCTGGTCCAGCAGCTCCTCCGTCAACTCCTCCTTGTACCCTGCACACACGACACGCGCGGAACCGCACGCGCGCGCACACACACACGGTTAACGGAGTGATTAGGGCGCGAGAATGGGAGGGGGTCAGCTTACGGCCCCAGAGGAAGGACCAGAGGGCGGCCTTGAACTGGTCGCGCGAGTAGCGGCGCGAGCAGAACGTGAAGGCCTGGTTGGTGCTCATCCGCCGGTTTTGCTCGATCACGTTCAACATCTGTCGTGCGCGTGTCGTGAGGTGATGTGTTGTGTGTGTGTGTGTGTGTGTGATGTGTGTGTGCATGTGTGTGTGTGGTGCGGCATAGATATGTACGTAGTACTTGAAGGTGTCCCACAGGGGACCCTCGGCCATGAGCTTGGGGAGGAACTCGCCCGTCGGGTCCCCGCAGAAGCAGTTGACCGATATCGTCACCTCCGTCGTCGTCACCTTCAACCCCCCGCCCCCCACACGCGCGTCAACTCATGTACGGCGTGTGCGGCGAGCGTGTGCCGTGTGTGGAGCGTGTGCGGTTGGTGCGTGCACCTGGTGCCAGTAGCCGTAGGGGAGGAACAGGACCTCGCCGCCGTTCAGTACGCACTCCTGGCACGCCACGTCGCGGAACTTGGGGAAGCGCCGGGCGAAGGCCGCCACGGCCTCGGGCTCGTGCTCGTGCCCAAAGTACTCCGAGAGGTCCATCTGCGTCTGCAGCGAAATGCCCGCCGACCCCAACGGATTCGGGTACACCTTCTCCAACTGATCTGCTTCCCCGCGTGTGCGGTCGTGCGCGTGCGGCGCGCGCGTGCGGTCGTGCGTGTGCGGTCGTGCGTGTGCGGTGTCAGTTGAAAGAGAAAGAAAGAAAAAGAAAGAAAAAGAAAGAGAGAGAAAGAAGTGCCTGGGGCGAAGAGGCGGATGGTCTTGGAGCCGGAGAGGATGAGGAGGAAGTTGTCGTCGGGGTCGATGTGGAGGTACTCGTAGTGCCCCACCGGCGCGATCCACAGGAACGGACCTCTGCCACACGCCGCACACACACCACCGCACACACCACCGCACACGCGGGGTTAGGTGAATGTGTGAGTGCGTGTGTCGTGCGGTGGTGTGTGTGCGGTGGTGTGTACCGGTGGAGCTTGGGCACGAATTCGGGCATGACGAAGTCGTCGGCGATCTGGGGCAGCGCGCGGTTGATGTTCTGCACCGCGAGGTACTGGTCCCGCGCCCGCTTGCTGCCCTTCTCCACCTCCGCCACGTAGTCCGAGAACTGCACCGCACACACGCCGCACCGCACACACGCCTCAGCAACCCGCGTGTGCGGCATGCATGTGTCGTGTGTCGTGTGCGGTGAGTGCGGTGAGTGCGTGTGCGGTGTACCTTGATCTTCTTGGTGAAGTAGGTGGTGCCCTGGCGGTAGGCCGCCGTGTTGGTCTTGTGCCGCACCTCCACCTGCACACACACATTCGCTCTCGCCGATCAGCGATGCTGCGGTGTGTGCGGCGTGCGTGTGCGGCGTGCGTGTGCGGTGGTGGCGTGCGTGTGCGTGTGCGGCGTGTGTGTGGCGTTGGCACCTCGGTGTCGCCGAGGCGTTCCTTGAGGTAGGGCAGGGTCCACTTATCGCGCACGGGCCAGCCGTCCATCCACCCCGTCACCACCACCGGCTTGTTTCTATATTATTGATATATTTTTTGAGATGAGAACTTACTTATTTAAATAATCAACACAATCAGACATTAATATTTATTTCATATTTAGGTGTTAGCAGTCATAATATAAATAACGAAGTTCTAAAAGACTGTATGTAAATAATAATGGCAGTTTCATTTCACATGAATTTGGTAATTAAAAAATACTTTCGCAAGTAGTCGCGGTGGATGGTGGCGATGTCGGGCTGGTGCAGGCGAGGCACTGCCGAGTACGACACCAACGGCTTCACCTCCGCAGTCGCGCTCTCCATCTCGTCTGCTCTTTGCATTTTCCTTTCCATTTTCCTATTTTCCTCCTTTTACGAGTTTGCCGTGAAAAGCCGACCCAAAATCAACGAGGTCCACCAATTGGGATCTTTACTAGCTGCCGACCAACCGCGGAAAATTGAGTTTTTGACTACAGGAACCATGCTGCTCCGCCACTCACCGTCACGTGCCACCCACTAAAGGCCGTCCACACCCAACAACAGCACAGCCTCAACAATTCATAGCACACAAGGCATGGGCGTGCCTCGTCTCCTGGTACCCGTGCTGCTGCTGCTGCTACTCGTCGTGCTCGTGGTGGCCGCAGCCTCGGAGGCTCGCGGCTCGGCCAGTGCGGCCGTGTGCGACGCCGAGGGCGAGTGCCGACCGGCAGCAGATTTCTCAATCCCCAAATTCAAAGAGGAAACAACCAAAGATGAAGATGACGATGACGATGATGAAGATGCGGCGCCCAAGTTGAAGCAAGCCCTGACCGCGCTGATGAAGTGGGTGGTCGATGCCGGGGGCGACGACGAACTGCCGGTGGCGCTGGTGGCGACGTGGGCGACGCCCGAGGTGGTGGTCGAGGCCCAGGGCACCCCCAACGTGCCCTGGCGCGGCCGCTACGAGGGCACCCGCGCCGCCGCCGCCTTCCTGCGCCGCCTCCGCCGCGGCATGAACGCCACGGCCGCCGCCAGCACGAACGCCACCTTAACCGATGACGCCGCGGCGGGTCTACAGTGGTCAACTGCCGCGGCCGGCGCGGGGGCAGAGGTGGGCCTGGTGGTAGGGTGGGAGCCGCCGGCGGCCGCGTCGTCCGAGTGCGGCGCATGGCTGATGGCCTGGGCCGACGCCGGCAGCGGCAGTGGCAGTGGCGTGGGTGCCAAGCTGGCCCGGCTGGTGGTGCACCACACGCGCTCGCTGGCGTGTGCCGCGGCGCACCGCACGCGCGCCCAGCGTACGTTCGACGGCGCCTTCGCACACTTCTTCCGCAAGGACTACGACGCCTTCCGCACCTCGTTCGCCCCCGACCTGGTCCTGACCTGGCACGCCGACCCGGTGAGTGCCTTTTGTCGTGGTGTGTGTGCGTGTGTGTGCGTGTGTGTGTGTCGTGTGCGATGCTGACCGAACGTGTCTGTGTGTACGGCAGCCGGTGGGCAAGGTGTTCCACGGCAATGGCGAGGAGGGGCTGATGGCCTTTATTCACAGCCGCGTGCAGATCTTCCTCCAGACAAGTACGCGGGTGTTTTTCTGATGGCGCACACCACCGCACACCACGGCTCATCATTTCCTTGGCGCGTCTGTTCGCCAGATGTGGAGTTCGACCCCATTGTCTCCGACGAGTCCAGCGCCTCCTACTACGTGGTTCGCAATTCCTCTTTTCGGTTCCATCTTGTTGACCGCTGACTGGCTGACACACACACACACACACACACACACACTGTCACACACACACACACACACACACACACACACGCTAAATACGACGCGGCCAGGTGTTCCGTCCGTTGACGGTCCGGGCCACGGGCCAGGAGTTCGGAGAGGTGCGCGGGCTGCTGGTGGTTCACATCAACGAGGCGGGCCTCATCGACCAGTACCACATGACCGTCCTCGACCACCGCGTCAACGCCGCCCTCGCCCGATCGGTCCCCGAGTAGAGAGAGAAAATGAACCAGCGTGGGCATGCCAGCTTGGGCTGGGGGCTGAGGCGACCAAGAGTCTCTTTCTGTGAGGACCTCCTGAGGGCTAGGCCAAGAGAACAAGGAAGAGAAGAAGGATGCACAAAACTTGGTTGGCATGTGCAAGTTAGCAAGTGAGCCAAAGGGTGATGCATCCTCACCTACCCGCCGGTGTGTCCGCCACGGCGCTCACACAGCTTGGCCAGGTCGCGCAGCCTGGCCTGGGTGACGTCATCGGGTTCGACGCCGGCCTGGTGCATCTTGGCCGCCACACGCTGGCCTCGTGCTGCGTCGCCGGCGCCGAGGCAGAACCCGAGCAGCGTGTTGAAGCTCTTGGCCGTGAGGCGGTCGTGCTTCAGCGCCGAAGTGGGCTGGCGCGCTGCGAGCGAGTCGAGAACGGCCTCGGCCTTGTCGAGCTGGCCGTTGCGGGCCAGCGCCTCGATGAGCGACGTGAACTGGTTGGCTTGAGGGTGGAGGCCGTGGAGCGAAGTCATGGCGTCGAACTGGCGCTCGGCCTCGTGCGGCAGGCCGGCAAATCCCGCCGCATCGATGACGACGCTGAACGTGGCGTGGGTTGGATGCACGCCCGCCTGCTTCATGTGGTCTGGCTGCCCGGCGTGCTTCATGTGGTCCACAGCGCGCAGCATCTGGTGATAGGCTGCAACAGGGTCGGTGGCCATGCGCTGTTCGGCGTCCATCAAGACCTGAGGTCACCCACCAACCACCCATCATCGATGGTGCACCACCGGGTTGGTCAGTTGTTTGCTACCCTTGGGGGGGGGAGGAGGGCTTTGGCGGCGGTTTTGGTGGTGTTGCGGCGCTGCTGCTGCTGCTGCCGGCGAGGGCGGTGGTCTCGCCGCAGGTGCGCGAGTGGTGGTGGCGGTGGTGGAAAACATGGCTTCGAAGGGCTGCAGCCAGACTCGCAGCCTCTGGTGGTGGGGGCCAAGAAGTGTGAGCCGCGAGCAGCAACGCGACGCTGGCATCGCGAGCGAAGAAGACAAAGAAGAAGAAGAAGAAGAAATGGAGGCAGCGCCCCCGATTCGCTGCAGCAGTGCAGTCATCGCCACCCGCCTCATCCTTCGCACTACAAAGGAAAAGGAAAAAGAAAAAAGAAAAAATGCAAAGAAACTGGATGCACAAAAGCGTTTTGTATTAATAAACAAAAGCTCAAGATTGTGCCTCTCGAGAACCAAATCGATGGAAAGCCCGGGCGCGTGGCCGCAACAAGGGGCGACTCAGCAGAGTGATGTGGAGGTGACGGAGGGCGGGGTGGTGCGGGTGCGACGACGCGTGGCGGGGCAGCGGGTGGAGCAGGCCGTGGCCCACGCCGCAGCAGCCGTTGCAGAAGATGAGGCCGGACGATACGAAGCCGCGCTCGAGGAATACCTCGCCGCCGCCGAACTCCTCCTGCACGCCAGCCTTGGTAGCCCCCTCCCCCTCCATCTTCAAGAGCAGCCTATATTATTTCATTACATAACATGACATCCTCTTTTTCAATTTTAATCGCGTTTATTCATTGGAAAAAAAATGCGACAATAATTAAAATAGCAGTACTAATAAGATGTATTGAACCAATAACAAATAAATAAATAAATAAATACTCAAATATCTTGCTTTGTGCAGAGGATAATCTGTCGGGTCACATGCTGGGCGTCGTTCGGGTACGTGGCGTGCTATGTTGTTCGATGTCATGCTGCAGCGGCTGATTGGGCCGTGCGACCACCATCATCAAACCATTCTCAACTCAACGTCAACTGCAATTGCGCCAACACGGGACGGCAGGCAAAGGAGGCCGAGTACGTGGCACGCGCGCAGCTGCTCTCCGACGGACTCAAGAAGGCCAAGGCCGCCGCCGCTGCCAGGGAACGCGCGACCACCGAGCCCGTCCAACTCAACAAGTCCAGGTACCCTCCTACTGCTAAGAGTCCACGACAGCCGCCACCTTAACCACGGGCGAGAACGCTGACGTGGCGCGTGTGCGGTTGCGCGTGTGTCGTGCGTGTGCGTGTGCGTGTTTATTTTCTAGGGGCGCACAGGGCAAGGAGGGGCTGTTCGCGCGGCTGCGGTCGAACACGTCTTCGTCGGACGACGTGGGGTTGTCCGACGCCGCGCGGTTCGCCGCCCTCTTCAGCCTGCCCGAGACGAGCATCGGCAAGAACGCCAACCGTACGTACCACCGCACCTCGCTCCATTTCCTATGCCGACTGTGCCCTGTGCGTGTCGTGCCTTACTTTGGTTGGTTGTGTGCGTGTGGTGTGTGGTGTGTCGGTGTGTGTGTCGTGTCTCGGGCGTGCTAGAGCTGCACGCGTGCGTGCTGAGTATTAGCACGAAGGAAGGGACGGCCCTGGTGACAGAGCAGAAGGCCCACATGCTCCTCCTCGGCAGGTATTTATTTATTTATTATTCATTTACTTGAAAAGTCAACTATTATTCATGTTATTTATTTATTTTTATTTATTTATGAATAACGAATTGCGCCGTGCCAGGTATTTGTATATTGCGACGGAGACGGGAAGCGAGGGACACGTGGTACGCGCTCGCGCAGTTAAAATAAGTCACCACCCGCGGCCGATGGACCCTCATTCGCGTACATGTGCGGTGTGATGTGCGGTGTGATGTGCGGTGTGATGTGCGGTGTCGCGTGTGTTTGGTGATAGGAGAAACTGCTGGTGACGGAGATCACATCGGTGGACAAGAAGCGGCAGGGCCTCATGTCCGCGCGCATCCAGTTCTCCACCCTCCACGACCGCACCGTGCGTGGACCCAGCCCCTCACTGCCGTCTTTGGAGTGTTGCAATGCACTAACACTGTGCGACTCTTCAACTCACCTGGTGACATGTGTGTTTTTTTGGCTGGAACGTAGTATGGGCTGGGGTCTGTGAAAGCGGACCTCTTCGAAGCGCTCACCACACAGCTCGCCACACTATGCGAGCAAACGGTACGCACGACACACGCACGACACACGCACGACACACGCACGACACACGCACGACACACGCACGACACACGCACGACACGCGCACGACACACGCACGACACGCGCACGACACGCGCACGACACACGCACAACACGACATACTCACCCGGCCAGCGCGTGTGTGTCTTTCTTAACACCAGAAAGTGTTCGGGGTGCCGCTCGACGAGCTGCTGGTGCGCGAGGGCAGGCTCACCCTGGGCATCCCCAAGATCGTCGAGGAGACCGTCAGACATATCTCCAGCCACGGTACCCAGACCGCCCGTAAAAGCTGCGTCGTGTGGCGTGTGTCCTGCGCTTACGCAATGTTTTTTTTTTTTTGCATTGACGCAGGGCTTACACAAGAGGGCATTTTTCGGATATCTTGCGATCACATGCAACTAATGGTACACACCGCATCGCACGACATGTTTGACACATGACAAGGCCGATGATGACACGCGCCCGATATATGGTTGCGTTGTGTTGCGTTGCGTTGCAGCGGCTGGTGACGAAGGTGGACCGAGGGGTGGACATCGATTGGCAGCAGGAGGAGATCCACGCCTGCACCGCCCTTCTCAAGAAATACCTGCGCGACCTGCCCCAGCCCCTCTTCTCTCCCGACCTGGTTCGCCTTCCACGCACACACACACCGCACACACGCACCGCACGTACTAAGCGCTACCCTTTGGTCGTCACCACACAGTACTCTTGCTTTATGGCCATCCACAGTACGTCCCACCTCGTGTCGTGCGTGTCGTGCGTGTGTGTGTGATGTGGTCGGTGGTGCATGTGGTGTGTGTCGTGTCGTGTCGTGTCGTGTCGTGTCGTGTCGTGTCGTGTCGTGTCGTGTCGTGTCGTGTCGTGTCGTGCGTGCGTGTGTGTGTGTGGTGTGGAGCGATGGCTGATGTTGAGGTGTGTGCGAGTGCAGCGTTGCTGGAGGGCGACACGGAACAGGCGGCGATGGCCAAGATCGAGTCGCTGGTGCGGGTGCTCCCCGGCCCCGCCCTGCGGCTGATCAAGTACGTCTTCGACTTCCTCGACCTCGTCGCGTCCCAGTCCTCCGCCAACAAGATGCACCTCCAGAACCTCGCCGTACGCCGCATCCCCCACCCCTCAATCCACATTACGCACACATGTGCGGCCTGTGCGATGCATGACACTCACACGTGTCATGACACTCACGAACAGTTGATTTTCGGACCGATTATGATTGGTTCCGACGAGGAGGGACTCAACACAGAAGCGGTACACGGCTCACGCAACACGACACAACACTCATCAATCTAAGCACGACACACACCACACACACCACATCACACACACACACACAGTTCCTGCGGGAGGCGGAGGCGTGCAACAAGCTGGTGCTGCTGATGATCACGCAGAAGGAGCGGTTCTTCCCGGCCGACCTGCTGACCGCCGCCCAGCTCCACTCGGCCGCCGGTGGCGGCAGCGGCGCCCAGGTGCCCAAGTACTCGTCGGCCAGCCTGGCCACCTCCGCCTCCCATCACCGTGGCGCTTGACCAACGCCTGCCCTTCGCCGAATTACATTTTTGCTCTTCTCCAACCACTGTGTGCGGTGGTGGGTGTTGTGTGTGCGGCTTGGGGTCCAGTCTTTCATCACGCACCCCCGGCGCACTCCGGTAAATACGAAATATCAGCTACATGCTCTCAAGAATGCGCCAGTGAACATTCCAGTGGGGAAGAGGAAAAAGAAAAATGAATTTCTTTTTCTAACCGTTGTTCCTGTCTGTGGTGCAAGCGCATCGATTGCGAGAGAGAAAGATCACGCGTGCGGGTTGGGAGATCAGCGTGCACGCGGCAGAGAGTGATGAGCGATCTGGAAGAACAGGAAGAGTACCGCGAGGACTCGCAGGTTGAGGAGGGGGAAGGCGACGACGACTTTCTCACCCAATTTCGTGCCGTACTCGACAAACTACGTACGAACGACCTGCAATTCGCCCTCATCTCTATTGATCTCTATTTTGAAGATAATATTTCGTTGTTGTTTTCATTGATTTATTCAATTCGTTTTAATGCTCGTTTTTCTTTTTTTCATTTTTATTGGCGCGCCACCAGGCGAAGCGGGCGACTCAGAGGAGCTCGAGCAGCTGGAGAGTGCCTATCGCATCGCGTGCGACCGCGAGCACGACTTCAAGGTTCGCTACTTGCTTCCATTTTTTTATTTTTATTTTATTTGGAACACGTGTACCAAGCACGCGCGGCAGTCGTTATTTCTATTTAAATATATATATTATTACTGAAATAATATTTTATTTATATTATTATTATTATTATTATTATTTGTTTATGGCAGACGGCAGCGGAGATCGGTCAGATGCTGGTGCAGAAGAACCAGCAGCTCATGGAGGAACTCGAGGAGGCCTCCATCTGGCGAGACCAGGTCCTCTCCTCGCTCTTCCCTCTCAGTGCCTCTCAAGCCCCTAGCGCTGACGTGTGTCGTGTGCCATCTCGTGTCGTGCTACGCCGCGTGTGTGTCGTGTATGCGTGTGCGATGGTGTGTGTCGTGTGTCGTGTGTCGTGTGGCGTTGACGGGGGGTGATACAGTATGACACACAACGGGACGCCAACAACGAAATCCTGACCACGCTGGAGCGGCTCGAGGAGGCCAACCACCTGCTCCAGCAGCAGAACCAGGACTACGAGCGAAGCATGGTCGAACTGCGCGCGGTACTCACCCATCATTCGATTCATTCCATTCCTTCCACGTGCGCGTGTGCGGTGGTGTGTGCGGTGTGTGCGTGATTTGAAAGTGAATGTGGGCGGACCGCCTCTGCAGAGGTGCGAGGTGTTGCAAAGCGAGCACGTCACGGCGGCCGAGATGCACAACGCGCTCGAGGAGGAGGTGGAGAAGCTGCAGGACAAGGTGCGCTCGCTCACACTCGAGCAGCGCGTCAACTCGGCCTACAAGGAGAAGACCCGACAACTCTTCGAGCAGGTACGCACCTGCCCTCAACCTGTAGCCTTCATCTCACTCTTCACGTTCTGTTCCAACCATCTGACATTCGCGACACGACATGCACGACACACAATCAATGACACGACACGCACGGCACACACACACACACACACACACACACACACACACACACAACACACACACACAACACACACACACACACACACACAATAGTTGGAAAGTGCGAAGGAGTTGACGGAGGAGCTGCAGGAACAAACGGTGCAGCTTCAGAAGGACAACGCCTCGCTCAGGGGCGATCTCGGTACGAGCCGCACACGCATCACCGCACACGCACCAGTGTCGTAACGTTTGGTTTTTGCGGGGGCGCGCAGAGGTGTTGAAGACGACGTCGTCTAAGAGCCAGAACGCCGAGTACGAGGTCAAGCAGCTGCGGGAGCAGGTCAAGAGCCTCAAGGCCATGCAGGACCAGAACAAGCAGCTCAAGGACAAGCTCGCCGTGGTTCGTTTTTATAAAACCTCTTGCGTGTGCGGTGGTGCGTGTTTCATTAACACGGTTGCACTGGATTGCATGGCACAGATTCAAGAGGAGCACGCCGACCTGACGAGCATCGTCGAAGAGAACCAGCGGCTCACCGACGCCGTCAACTCGCTCATGAAAGTCAACCGGTACGTTGCCCTTCATGTCGTGTGCGTTGTGTGCGTTGTGTGTCGTGCGTGTCACACGTGCGTTTCCCTGCCTCACGTCCCTTTTCCACGGCACGACACCGCGGTGTCTGAAGGCACTTCCGGGAGCAGCAGGAGAAGGACCAGGCCCTGCTCGAGGAGGCCAACCACAACATCCAGAGCCTCCAGGTCGCCATCGAAGAGTACGCTTCGCCCCCCCCCGTGCCCTATTCTGTCGACAAACATTCCTTACGTTCCTGACATTCCTGCCCATATCGCCTCGCCAGGCAAAAGCTCGCCGACCAAGACTCATCCCTCGCCAGGGTACGCCGCTCGTGTTGTGTCGTGTCGTGTCGTGTCGTTCGTTGGTCGTGTTGTGTCGTGTTGTGTCGTGTCGTGTCGTGTTGTCTTATACGTGTCATGTCGTGTCGTGTCATGCATCTGCACGCGCAGGATCCGTCGCTGGTGGCGCTGGAGCTGGAGCAGCGAGTGCTGGACCTCATGCAGCGGGTGCTCGACGACGACCCGGGCTCCAACGGTGAGCTCAACAACGTGCTCGAGGCCGAGATTGCGCGCCGGGCCGACCGCCTGCTGGCCATGCGCCGGGCCGAGCTCGAGACCCAGTACGAGCTCGAGCTCCAGCGTCAGCTAGCCAAGGCCCGCGAGGACATCAACATGAAGATCATGGAGATGCAGATGGCCAAGATGGTCGAACGCGGCAGCCACCACGCGGCTGCGAGCGAGTCGGCCAAGCGCGAGCGAGACGAGGGCGAGGGCGAGGGCGCGGCGGACATGCAGTTGGGCGACGACGAGGCGGCGCAGAGCAGCAAGCGCAAGAAGCGGTCGGACACCAGCGGCACGCCGCCGCCCGTTGCCACCGCACCCGCCACTGACTGGGAGTACGCACACACGCACGACCGTACACACGCACACGCACACCCACTCACCGCACACATGGTACGCGCGCGCACACAGACAAGGATCGCTCAAGCGTCGGAGCACGGACATGTCGTCGCTGTCCACCCGGCGGGCGGCCGCGATGTCGCTGCCGCCGCGCAAGATCTCGCTCGGGTCGGGGCGGTCGACGTCGCCGCGCCGCATCTTCGAGAAGCTCGCCCAGCACTCGCCCCGCTCGCCCCTGCAGAGCACTGCCACCACCATCGGCCTTCGCGTACGCTCGTGTCGTGTGCGGTCTTGAGAACACGCGTGTGTGTCGTGTGCGCTAATGAGGAATGTTGTGCTTTTGGTTGGTCAGGCGCCGTCGCCCACAAAGCTGGAGCTGCCGCCCATGGAGGCCCCCATGACGACGACCACCACCACCGCCGACGAAACTCTGCCTATGCTCGCCGACGAGCAGCCGACCATCGAACAAGAGAAAATCGAACAGCCGCCCGCAACCGAAGAGAAAATCGAAGAGGAAACTAAAGAAGAAAAGATGGAGGAGGAGAGCACGACGACCGAGCAGCAGCAGCAGCCCATGGAGGAGGTGGCAGTGGAGGCCGTCGCCGTCGAATCACCGGCGCCGGTCGAGCCGGAGTCGGAGCCGGAGCCGGAGCCTGCCGCTATTGTTGTGGACGAGCCCGAGCCCGCGGTGGAGGAGGTAGTCGAGGACAAGGTCGTGGAGGAGGAGACGAAGCCCGAGGAGCCCACGCCGGCCGAGCCCGCGGTCGTCGATGTGACGCCCAAGGCCGAGGCCGAGGAGGTGGTGGTGGTGGAGCAGCCGCCCGTCGTCGAGCAGCCGACGGAGGTGGTGGCCGAGGCCGAAATCCCCAAGGAGGAGGTGCCCGTGGTATGCCTGCGCCTTCTTCCTGTGGTCGCCTGTGGGCTAACGCGCACACACTCTGCAGCGCTCGCTATCGGCGCCCGTGGCGCGGAACTCCATGTCCATCCTGACCGCTGAGTCGTCGCTCGCTACTGCGGTACGACCCCTTCTCCCCATCCCAACCATCGCACACGCGCAACACACGATCATACGCAGCACCGCACACGCACACAGCAAACAATAACAACAATATATAATAATAATAATAATAATAATAATAATAATATAACAATATAATGCAGGCGTCAGCGGGCCTCACTACGGTGCCGGCTCTCGAGACCGCGGCCTCGCCTGCGGCGCGCCACATCCCGCCCGCCAAGCCCGTCCCGCCACCGCCCACCGAAGCGTACGTCGCGGCCGTCTCTCTCTTTCTCAGTCGCCCCACACGACTTATACCGCGAGTGTTGGGGGGGGGCACATACAGAGGCGCGCGCCGTAGCTTTGACGACGCGTCGGTCAAGCGACCGCGCTCGAACTCGATCACGCAGTCGCTGGCCTCGTCGTCCTCGTTCGCCGCCTCGACCCTGCGGGACAAGGTCGACAGCGTCTTCGCTAAGCCCTCGGCCCCCGCCCGCAAGAAGGACCAACGCAAGACCATCATGCCCGAAGGTATTTATTTATTAGTTATTATTTATTCTGGCGAATTTTCATTGTTTTTATTTAATTGAAATTAATTTATTATTTACTGATCGCGGAATGTGTGGAATGGATGTAAAAAAAATGTAGCGCGAGCGCTGCCGCGACTGCATGGGCCGGAGGAGGGCTCGATGTCGCCGTTCATGATCTCGTATCGGAACCCGACGCAGACGCTGTCGCTGTCGCCCCGAGGCGGGAAGGCGGGCACCACCTACACGCTCCACTCGCGCCCGCACACGCCCTCGCTCGTCGAGGAGCTGCTCACGTCGGCCTTCCGGCTCGAGGCCTCGCTCAACCGCATCAACCTGTTCGCCATGAACAGCGACGAGGCCAACACCTTCCGCCTCATCGACGTCATGACCGACCACATCGTCCAGCACGTCGTCAAGGTAATGCAAACACGCAACACCGCACACGCACACATGACACACGACACGACGACACGCTGACGTCATGGCATGGTCCTGTATGGCGGACATAGGCCAAGTCGTTCAACTGCCCGGACGAGCTGCGGCAGAGTCAGAAGGAGGAGGGCGCCCAGGAGCTCCAGCGCCTCCAGTCCCTCGTCAAGCCTGGTACGCCCGCCTCCTTTGTTTCTGCTTACTGTCGCCCATCGTCTGACGCTGTGTGTCGTGTCGTTGGTCGTGTCGTGTCGTTGGTCGTGTCGTGTCGTGTCGTGTCGTGTGCCGTGCGAAGTGGTGAATCTGCTGTTCTCGGAGTCGCACAACGGGGCGTACCACATCAACTTCCGCACGTGCCTCAAGCAGATCAGCGAGGCCAACAGCAAGATCGCCACCGCCTGCACCCTCTCCTTCATCGACGACAGCATCAAATTCATCGGTACCCTCACACTCACCCTCACCCCCCAAAATCCACACCGCACGCAACACGACACTCGCTCATGCGTGTGTCGTGTCGTTGGTCGTGTCGTTGGTCGTGTCGTTGGTCGTGTCGTGTCGTTGGTCGTGTCGTGTCGTGTCGTGTCGTGTCGTAGAATCGAAGATCGATATGCCGGGCGTGGTGGAGGACGAGGAGCTGCAGCAGCAGTACCGGCACCTGATCGAGCTGTCGCCCAACATTCTGGTCATGTTCAAGGAGGCCCTGCTCAACCCGGAGGACTCGGACCGCAAGCGCGTGCTCCACGCGTCGATCGATCTGGCCAATCAGATCCGCTTCAAGATTCAGCGAATGGGCCGCGCCCGCGAGCTGCCCATGACCCTGTCCCCGTCGGCCCTGCGCCGCCCCGGCTCGGGCCTGCGGACGAGCGCGGGTGTCGACACGTCGACAGTTGAACAGATCGTGTCGACGCCGACGCCGAGCTTCACCAGCAGCAGCTCAACGAGCAGCGTCGACGTCGACAGCAGCGATGGCCGCGACAGCAAGGGCAAGGAGAAGGACCACGAAAAGCCCCTCAGTACGAGCCCCTTCGCGCCGCGCGCGATCAACGACGTCATTCCTGACGTGTGTGTGTGTGTTTGTGTGTGTGTCGTGTGTGGTTGTGTGTGTGTGTGTGTGTGTGTGTGTCGTGTGTGTGTGTGTGTCATGTGGACGCAATGCAGCGGTGGACATCGATCAGTTGAGGAACGAGATCGCGATGGAGCTGGAGGACGACGAGCTGCGCATACTGGCGCGCATCGACAACGTGGTTGAGCGGCAGCTGCGACTGCTGCAGATCGAGGAGCGCAAACACATCCACCTCATCCTCGACCTCAGGGACAAGCTCAATGACGCCAACCTCGCGGTACACGACACGACACGACACGACACGACACGACACACACACACACACACGAGCAACCGCACACGTGTGCGCACACACTCACACACGCATGAATGGTTGGGTGGACAGGTGATGAATAAGACGATGCGGAGCGTGTTGAGCTTCAACGAGCTGGTGCAGCTCTCCGACGCCTGCATCGACAACGTGCTCAAGGAATCCAAGAAGTAACCGCCCATTCCTCACATTCCTCACACTCCCAACCTTGAAATAACCATGTGTTGTGTCGTTCTCCCCGCGTGTCGTGCGTGTCGTGCGTGTCGTGTCGTGTCCACTAAAGGTTGTTCAAGCTGCCGGGTCTGCGCAATCCGTCGTTGATGGCCCTGGCGATCGATCTGGTGATCGAGGTGGCCGTGCTTATGAAGCGCTGCAACGACTTCTCCGTGGGCATCAACCAGCCCACGCTCGAAAAGCTCGAGAAGTTCAAGAAGGACTACGCCCTCCGGGTACCCACAAACTCGCCTGCGTGTGCGTCGTGTGCGTCGTGTGCGTCGTGTGCGTCGTGTGCGTCGTGTGCGTCGTGTGTGTCGTGTGTAGGTGCTTAAATGTTGACACGTTTCGCGCAGGTACGGCAGGGTGTGGCAACGCCATCGCCGGGCAGGGGAGGCTCGCCCAAGAAGGGTGCACCGGGCGGCGGCATCCTCTCCTACTTCTTCGGCCGAGGGTGATAATGCAATCTCACCAACGAATGAACTACAAGTTATTGTTTGCAAATAACAATTTACATGTCTCAAACTGCCCACCAGTGAGTGCATCAGAATTACAGCCCACCCCTGGTGGGTGATGAGCACAGTCAAAAGGAAACCACAACTTCTGCAGGTAAAAAACAATCAAGATCAACAGTGGGAAGTAGTACAGGCCACAGCACAGTGCCATTGGGTGGAGTCCCTCCTCTTCAAGTACGTTGTACCTCCTCCTGGCCCTGCCTTCCACTCCTACAAACACAGTGTTGGGAAGAAGGTGACAGTGAACCTCAGCAAAATTTGAGTCCCAGTTCTTGACAGTGTACCTGTTTCACTAACTCTGTTGCGCTGATCACTGTGCCAAAGCCAGAGGCCGCCGCCACATGGACCAGGCGCAGGAGGTGTTCGACCATATGGTGCAGCAGGGCGTGCGACCAGACGCCACAACGTTTGGCACACCCATCCACAGGCCAAGCTGTATGAGTGCCGTGGTGGACAGGAGGGTAGAAAAAAAAAGCAGGGCAAGGAAACTAATCCTCTTGGCTTTGAGCAACACAGACATTTTTACTGGGCTGCGTTGGTCCTGCCGCGGTCCTGTTGACGCGCGAGGCGAGTTTTGAGGCGCCGCCGGAGCCGCTTATTGTCGTCGTGCAGGCGGGCGATGACGGCGTCCCGCTCCTCGGCCTCCCGGTCGGCCCCCAGGTCGGCCATCCAGCGCATGTAGTACGCGTCCCACAGCTTCAGCCGCCGCACGCTTGTTCGTGGGAACAGCACTCGCCCCTCGTCCTCGCCACCTCCGCCGCCCGCGCCGTCTTCGCCCGCCCTCTGCCGTCGCTCTTCGCATTCGTCGTCGCTTTCGTTCTCCTCGCGCCCGTCGCTTTCGTCGTCGTCGTCTTCGCTTTCGCCAACGCCGTCGTCGGTGTGGTCGTGGAGGTGGTCGTTGTCATCATCAGAGGAGTGGGCGGAGGGTGGTCGCTGATCGTGGCCTGACTTTCCGGCTGCGGCGGAGGCCTTGCGCTTGGCGGTGTAGAGGTAGTTCTTGAAGCGCCGCTTGTGCTGCTTGCTGTTGATGTAGCTCCACAGCGACACCGTGCGCGCCGCCAGGTTGTGCTCCCGCATCTCCCGCTCCGCGTTGGCTGCCGACCCGCCGCCGGTGAAATCACCGCACACGCACACCGCACACACGACACACACCTCACACACGACACACGACGCATACACCGCACACGACACGATACACACCGCACAGGGAGTGTAGGGGAGGTACCAAGAAAAGTGCCGAACTTGCAGTTGTAGTGCTCGTCGAGAATGGTGATGAGGAAGCGCTCGTTGAACTCAAACGACAGCGGAAATTGCTGCATCACTTGCCACACGCAATCTGCTCCTCACGCGTCAAAAGACACCGCACACACAACACAACACCACGACACTCACACACACACACTCACACTCACACACACACACACACGGCTCACACCGCACACCTGACTCACACCACACACGACATACACGACACACGCACGAGGCCAAAACTCGACGTACCAATGAACATGGTGAAGATGGGCGTTTCGTTCTTGGTCGTTCCCACGTGCGCGCATCGCTCCGTGAACTGGTGCCCGAAGCTCAGCCACTCCTGTGTGTGTGTGTGTGTGTGTGTGTGTGTGTGTGTGTGTGTGTGTGTGTGTGTGTGTGTGTGTGTGTGTGTGTGTGTGTGGTCCGTGTGTGCGGTGGTGCGTGTTGCATCGCGTTCAGCGAAGATCGCGTGTGCGGGGCATGGGTGGTGTGGGTACCTTTTCGATGAGGACTTCGAACCCGACGATGGTGCGGTAGTAGGGATCTAACAGGAGCTGCGCCAGCGCCGTCAGCTGCGGCGTCCTGTCCCACCCGTCCGTGCCTGTCCAAACACGCAACATATGAGCCATGCCTCGCGTGTGTCGTGTCATGTCTTGTCTTGTCGTGTTGTGTCGTGTGTGCCGTGTGGGTCGTGTGCGTCGTGTCGTGTCGTGTCGTGTCGTGTCGTGTCGTGTCATGTCGTGTCGTGTCGTGTCGTGTCGTGTCGTGTCGTGTGCGTCGTGTGTTGTGTCGTGTCGCGTCGCGTCGTGTGCGTCGTGTATGGTGGAGGGCGTACAGTGGACGATGACAGACGTGTTTCGTTTATGTACAAATTCGGCGATGCGTGTCGCTGCGGTCAGCACGTGCGACAAGTTGTCCAGCCATCGCGACCCAGCCAGCGCCGCATAGTAGTGGTCCGTCAGCGTCCCTGCATCACGCACCACCGCACACACACACACACACACGCACACGCACACCACACACACACACACACACACACACACACACACACACACCACCACCACCACCACACACACACACACACACACAT